TAAAAACCGTTGCGAGTTGGCTTTTTTCCTTGAATCACGATTCCAATCAGAGCACTGGCTATATAACAAGAATATTGAGACATTAATAATTGAATGGAAAGTAATTTCCGGTATATGATGAATGGCATATTAATTTATGTGTTCATGATTTGAATGTTTTCAAACGTTCTTAATTTATATTATTATTATATATTATTTAAAATAGATTCACACTTAAATATCCTGAACTTTTCTTTCTTAGTATGTGTGTAATCACATCGAAATATGTCTTTGATTCTTAGGGAAAGTGAATAGATATAGAAATATGTCTGTTCCATTTGTGACTCTTTTTAATAAAAAAAAATGTTTATTTTTTTTCATAATATACATATATATATATTATATAGCCGTTAAAGTTAATAACAATTTTTAATAGTGAATCTGGATTAGAAACCTCTAAAATATTTTTAACGAATACGTTCATAGCGTAAGTACATAAATGTACCCTTGTAACCACCGAACTCATGAAAATTTTAAGTAAAGTACTATGTATTATGTAAGTGACATGCATGCGACCTTAATATAAAAGAGCATACATTTTAAATGTTAGTCTTAAAGAAATATGGTCTTATAAGTCAGGCGGACGTTCCTTTAGAAGCTAGACAAGCGCGACATATGAAATGCAGTATTTTAAATAAAAACTCCTTTGCAGTCTCCTTTCATATTTAAAATTATTAATGTTATGTAACTGGCTGAAAACAGAGATTTTTAAATTTAGAATAATATTAATATTTTATTCTATATGTTTCCTTGTGTTTCTGATAGACCTTTGAATAAGTTCAGTATATTATGAATACACAAGGGGCTGTATAACCATTGATGATGATGAACCTTCACAACCATGAGGTCGCGCGTTCAAAATCTAGCTCTAATCCAGCAGTAAAGTGGAGGAAAACGTCTTGAAGAAACTATGTATATTTGTAAATTACGTACTGGAGATAATGAAAATTACCAATCAAACTTTAAAAATAGTCCTTTCTCATCGGGTCTACTATAACCCGGATATTTTACTTTGCTAATAAAACAATAGAATATAATCATTTGGATAATATTCGAGTTGCAGAATGCAAGAAAGTCGTTTTATTCGAAGTTATTTATCGGCGAGAAATCTTTGAACTTTTTAAACGCACGCCAAGGAATCATTAAAGTTTGCTCCACATACCGTGGCGTTGTCGCGTGCAGGGGAAACACTTTTAATGCTACTGTTCAATGTGAATTAAATCGATACAGTTTAGGGAGCACCTTCATTTTTATGCTTTTAACGGTATCTAATTTAGATCAGACATGATTTGTTGCATGAACAGTTTGGTTGTCGTATATTTTCTTTGTTTGTAACCAAATACAATATTATATGACTGTTCTGAATTTGTCAGAGGTCGTCCACAGTGATTCCCAATCACGTTTGGTCTTGAGCTTTGCGTTTTACCTCGCTTCAATTCTTTCTGGCTCCATTCGCCCCAAAAGTAGGGGCGATGATGGGAACAATGTATTCGTTTTCGGACGTCATTTTTTTCACTCCCGAGTTATTACTTATCATATGGTGTACTTTGGGGTTCGAACAAATAAAAAAAACAAAAAAAAATGATAAAAACAATCCTTGATGCGGATATATCATGCTAAAATTTCAGCTCGATCGGTGCAGAACTTTTTGAGTTTTTGAAGCATACACAAACCAACAACATTTTTATATGTAGATATATATAGATTGTGATCTTGTTGCATACATATATATATATATATATATATATATATATATATCAATACTTTTTTGGTAGTTTTATTAGTATGAAGTCCCTTCCTTGCATTTGCGATACCACTTCATAAAGAACATTATTATCAACACATGTCACAAATCCAAAAAGCATACAAAGTGAAATGAAAACATTCTGTATCTAGGTTAAAAATGTTTTAAAGTACAAAAGCTCATTCACGCCGAAATATCAAAATTTTTCCAGCAAAAAAATGTAGGACATTGAACAAGCCGGTTTTATTACGGGCGTTGTAGTCCCATTGTACTGAAATGGTGTTTAATATACGAATTGTATATTTTAAAATACAAATCTGGCATTATCTACGTTCGGTCCTGCAGTAAAAGTCCGGGCTACGACGTGACTCCGATACGCTTTCAGTCAAGCTTGCTCTGAATTCTCTTGCAGGGTTCTGTTCCTAATTAAAATAGCGGGAGAAATGATCTTATGATATTAGGCTGTATTAAGTTGTCTAAAAATTGGGATATACTTTGTAAGTATCCGCTACTGGTTAATGGTTTTTTAATATATAAAAAGGACATAAATATAGTCATAAAGTATTAATTAGACTAAGTTTCTTAAATAATATTCCTTTCAGCTTATAAATTCATAGACATAGACATAACATTTATTACTAACAAAAACACACATAAACACTTTGTGTGCTTTAACAATAATCAAAGAAAAAAAAAATATATATACATATATTATAAGACATATCAAAAAAAATCGGGAAAAGAAAAATAGATATATATGTTGTGTAAAAAAAGTTATGCCTGAATATCAACAATAGAATGAAGCCTTAAATATGTTTTATTATTAAATATGTACTAGATTGATCCTTGCTAATCAATGTTTCAAACTTACCAATGTTTACATAAAAATAAAAGGTATTTTCTGTACACAAATTTAACAAATTATCTCGTACCAAAAATCTGTGTACTGATCATAATACAATTAAGATCCTCATTGTTTTCACTTATTGCATTGAATACAAGCAAGATGTAAGAATAGAAATGATGGATTCTTTGTAAAGCACAAAAGACTATGACAAAGACACTACCGTTTTACCTTTATTGCTCCGGGACCCTTAAAATGGGCAAAGGCGAGAGATTTTAATGAGAGATCAGGTTTTTCAATTATCCGCACTCTTTTTCTAACTTCACCTCGGCTTTTTCTTCATATTTCTTAGAGAATTTACAATCGCACGTTATAATGAAATCTAATTACGACACAGTGTCAAACGTACTATGTTTTCGATGATAATACTACATTTAATTTACAAAATTTATTTTTATTACTTGATAAGTTAATTAAAGAGTTACACCAAAGTAAAAAGTCATTTTAGCTTTATGTAATAAAACAGGGCTAGCTAGACTCTAGACTAGCAGTAAATTAATATATATATAAATAGTAAATAGAAAAAGTTATATAAAATATAAAGATTAGATTTATAGAAATATAAATACAAATTGTAAAAATATAAATATACATTTTTAAATAACATGTCCCAGAAAATCAAGAACAACTCACGGGGATAAAATCGTATTTCCCCCGTTTAAAAATGTAAAATATGTTTCATACCTTTTAATCTCAAACAAATAAATAAACATAACAAAACAAGGCCTATGAATATAAAGAAAACTGATCAGGGAAATCGACAGAGAAATTATTCCTAGGTGGGTATTTCATACAATATTGAAACCAGGGTATGGCGTTAAAGATATACCCCGAGTCGGGTAATGTCAAAATCATTTAATTATTAAATGATCACAATCAGTTAAATAACAGCTATTTAACCAATTTTGATTAATTAGTCAATTATAATAATTAGAAATATTTTGATAAGATAACTATTAATCTATCATTAAGGATAACTTAATGGACGACTGAGTAAGGAAAACATAATAGCTACAATTCGTTCGATACAGCTTAGCACGCCACACGGCAAGTGTTCGCAGTTTTTGCTGGCGAACAAATGGCACTTCTTGCACGAACACCATTGTTTGCTGACCGCCACTCGTGTTTATAGCTACAATACAGACACATAGCCACTAAAAGAGATTTATTGCACCTTAATCTACCCCGATTCATATACTTACGTAACGTTAAACGTTTTTGGTGACCCCGATGTCATTGTCAAATGAGGTCAGTTTTAAAAGTACGTTTAATACGCTATACGTATTACGTCAGTCTCTGCAGATAAATCTATGCTTCCTGATTAAGACGCATTTTATCGAAGCTTTCTTTATAATAAACAGTCTTAAAGTTGACAGCCTCTTTTTTATTATAATATTTTTTAATTAGTGCTCTACTTAAAATAGAGTTTTAATTAGTAATTTAAATATGTACTTTAGAATACAATATTTGTTTTTATTATATTATATTAGCTGACCCGGCAAACATTGTTTTGCCATGTATATTATTTCAAGGAAACATTTTTTAGTTCAATAAAAAAAAAATGTAACATAAAATAATGAAAAATAGGGTTTAATCGTAGAGGGGCTAAAATTAGGGGTTGTATGTATTTTTGTGTGTTGTATCATAAAAAAATTGTCAAAAAAATGTTTTGGGGCTGTACACCCCTAATCACTTAGGGGTTTGTTAGATATATAGTTGCCGCTTCTCAGACTTATTGAATATGTATTAAAAATTTCATATAAATCGGTCGACCCGTTTCGGAGGATTAATGGATCGAACATTGTGAAAATGTTATATATTATATGTTATCGCAGAACTGATTATTTCTTGTAATGTTAGAGTTTAGACCATATCGACTATATCTAATTATACGAAATTAACCAAAGTAGGCTTTTATATTGTTCGGTTGTAATAAACATGAATCTATATTTCAGTCCGATACAGAATTTAATATCGGCGCCGCTGTACATTTGAACTTTGATGAGGCAACGACTAGTCACGCAGGGGTGTGGCAAAAACTCAATTAAAACTTGGCTAATGCTTACATACGTGTTTAGAACTTTGTACTGCTTTGTCTCGTTTAGTTTTTGTTTTTCTTGTTGAATAATTTTGGGACTATTAACCTATATCAACATTGGACAGGCTTTTAATAGTCTTACTTCAATTTACACATTGTATTATTCCAAGCACTTTTACATAGTTTCATGTTGATCAACTCTAATAGAGAACCAATAAAAGAACAGAGTACGAATGTTAAACTAAAAAGGAGACGATGGCACGATTCGTTGAGTGTTATTGGTCAACATCTCTATTCCAGACACGCGACACTTTTCCCTGTTTGATCAGAAACAGTGAAGCAGTGACGATAATTTTTTGCTTTTGAATGGAACATCGCTGTTGCCCTGGAGTGTTTTGACAGTTCGGCCTGTTTTGGCGAGCGTAGTTCTGCCTAAAATAGGGTATTGCGACGTTTTTACGACTAGCGCAAGGGCCTCTCCTGAGGGACTCGGACCTCGGCTGAGCCGTCCCGAGTGGAACACTTGCCTGAAAGACGAGACGGGATATCACTGGTGAGCGAAGTACGGAGTAAGGGACCATCGTTTAAGGTTCTTTGCCCTAATCTGAACAGCTTCATCCAGAACGGTCGCACAATTGCTCTCTGACGAGTTATAAGTAGGGTAGGTTATTTTTGTGTAATAACGATATTAACTTGTTCATTTGTATTGTTTAAGCCTTTTCACTAACGTTGTAAACGATGATTTCAATTGTAATCAGATTCAAAGTATACAGATTATCAAGGCAACGTGAACTTTAAAATTTGAAAATTTTCTGATTTTCATCTACTGGAAATTAGATTTTTTTGCGGTAAATTACAAGCCTTTATAATCTCAAAATTAATTTATTTGTCCTAAACCTACAATATTAATTACTTAAATAATATTTGTCATATTTGGCTTATTGTGGACGAGAACAAAGAGAAAATAAAATATATTTTGATGTTGGTAGCGAATAAACTCAAACTACTACTACCGAACTAATTTCAAAAATGCTTTGACTATAAGACCGTTACGTGCCTTAGTAACATAGGCTATATATCTTTCCAAAATATTAAAAAAAGATCAATAGCCGTGCGAAGGTGTATTCCATACTAAATTAAATGGGACGCGGCTTATCAAACAAACCATCTATTGAATAAATTCAATGCCGAACAAAGGCAACTACAGGATTCGAGAACAACCTTCACCCATCTAACATATTGCATACATACAAGCCAAAGTCAATATCGTCTAGTACTGTGTTCAACCAAGTTGCCCACAAACATGCCCGCGGCGTATACCAAGAACTACCTGCAATCGTAACATAATAGCAAGAAAACAAACCAACAGATGAGACTACCTTACTAGTACCACTAGCATACTATATTTATTTAGCTATCTCGGCAAAAGTGCAATAGACAACGTTTGGGACTTATTGGATTTTTAAGTTTACCTTTACCGCACCTACGAGCAAAACTGTTACGCACTTCTAAAAAAGCATATTAACATAGCCATTTCGAACACATGGTATCAAGGTTGAGAATTGTACGCTTCACCGCTTAACATAAACTGTATAATTTTATTTAATTATTATTTCTTATGCTAATATATAGGCGTCAGTTCTGTAGCTTTTGGCTAAGGACAAATTATAACCGTTAATCTCATAAACCATAAGGTCAATTTTAATAAGTTGTCTTGACTATTGAGATTAACTTTGTATATATTTCTTAGTAATCGTTTTGTAAGTAGACTTTCTAAATAAAGAATAATGTTTATGCCGTCGTGATGAAGTGATAAGTTTGTTTATATAAACCAAGGATTCAAATTCAACATCGTAAATGACAAAGCTACGGTAAAAGTAATTGAGTTCTTTAATATCTTTAATGACATCCTTTTCTAAATGTTTAATACCGTATAGGGGCCCGTTAAATCCATTAAAGATTACGGCAAAAATCCCGCCACATTTCCCTAGAAAAATTCCGTAAAACTGCTCGGGTTTTCGTCGATTGCAAACATATTTCACATGCCACGAAGATTTGAACATCGGAAAGCTACTGAGAATAATAGCGCTTTTTACATTGAGGAAAAATTTACAAAGTTTCAACTTTGACAGTAGCCTGTGAATTATCGTGGTCTCGGCGGTATCATTGGCGAACTTTAAGCTTGAACTTGGGCCTTGGGGTGAATTCTTTGTGAAGTTCCTTCTGGGCGGTGGCCAAAGCTTGTATGACATACCTCGTAAATGTTTACATTTAGTATTAGAATATTACCCGTATATTAAACGTGGCATAAAATGGGATTTATAAACTAAGCTGAAGTAGAACATAAATAATTTGGTATTGTAGTGATTGTAAAGCTCCACACTCGTTGCATAATGAATCAAAACCATATTGTTTCAGAGAACTGTCATATTGTGCTATTCTAATAATATGAGTAAGCAATTAGACGAATTTTTTTGGGCGAAAATTTTAATTTTAATCTTTAAAGATGACTATGGTCACAGGAGGGCGTTATAATAATTTAAATATACCTACTATGCACTTCAAATTCTACAAAGCAAGTAACTAGCGATTTTGTTTAACGGGCTATCATTAATACAAAAATATTTTGTTACGTTTATTTATTAGTACGTAGTCACAAGAGTGATAAGGACAAGATATATCATAGATAATCGTAAATTTATAATTAAACATTTTCAGTTCGAAATTGAATTTGTAACTTACAAGTAGAATGTAATTGTCAAAACACCGGTTTCTTCTATAACGTTAATTTGTGTCCTCCCCAAAAAAATAATTAATTCGCTTTAAACGCCGTGTTAAAAAAGGAAAAGAAATTAAGAACAACTTTGCTTTACAAAAGATTTGTTACAATATTTTCCCTTGGACCTTAACAAATTCGTTATGCAAATGAAAAAGCATTATTACGCTTCTTTTAATTATTTTGTAAGCTTCTGTATAAAATGCTTTATATTTTCATTATGAAATTCTTAAATATAACTACCATGTTTGAAGTATACTGTAAAATTACAATATTACATATTTAAATATTTTACTGCTAATAATATTATGAAGATACTTAGATACTTTCTCTTTTTTTTAAAATATTTTTTTTAAAAAAAAAAAATTTTTTTTTTTTTTTTTTTTTTTTTTTTTTTTTTTTTTTTTTTTTAATTTTTTTTTTATATTTTTTTTTTAAAATTTTTTTTTATAAAAAAAATATTATTTTTTTTTAAAAAAAAAAAAAAAAAAAAAAAAAAAAAAAAAAAAAAAAAAAAAAAAAAAATTTTTTTTTTTTTTTTTTTTTTATTTTTTTTAAAAAAAAAAAAAATAAAAAATTTTTTTTTTTTTTTAAAAAAAAAAAAAAAAAAAAAAATTAAAAAAAATTTTTTTTTTTTTTTAAAATAAAAAAAAAAAAAAAAAAATTTTAAAAAAAAAATAAAATTTAAAAACATATGACAAATTATACATGTAATACTTTCTTCTTGCACTGTGAGGTCGACGATGCTTTAGACGAAGAATTAAATGCTAGAATAAAAACAAAATCAAATTTGTTGGATAAGTACGGTTTTCAGTACTGCTTATAAAATAATCAGACGGTTATTTAATTAATATTAATTGCTATATAATTCAAGAAAATAATTTAATTTATCTATAAACTACTTAATTTAAGTTTTAAAATTTAACCATGCGTCATGCTCGTGAACGGGTGCTGCTTGTGGTGACTGGTCGTACTTGAATTCGTGTATGCGGTGATGTTGCTTATTTCGACTATGCCCCCCCCCCCCTTCCCCCCCTCCCCCCTTCTTTTGTTTGCGTGTTGTTCCCATAATCGAGAATGTAAGTCGTGCTCCTATTTCACCATGCTTCCTTCTGATAGTAGGACAAGTCTTTTAATCCTTTTTTTGTTATTTATGTTATTATTATTAATCACTTGATATGTCATGTGGAACTCCTTACAAACGTTGTGTAAAAAAAATGGCGATTAAAAAGAGTGGCGGAGAGTTTATTCCCAGTTCTTCACGCCCTTGATTTGAGAACTGGCAGTAAATGTAAAATTAGAAGCATTAATATGTATTTCTTTACTGACGAGTCGTAAGTGTACATTATGTTACCTATGTGATTAAATGATTTTTTAAGTAAATTAACTTACAATGAACTAAAAGATACGCACGCCTTAAAACTTGCGAATTTTAAATATCGAAAACAATTTCCGAATAGTTCTAAAGATTACATATGTAATGTATGAGTACTACAGGAATTTCTTTTAACCCCGCCAACATTAATCCTTTGATTTTGGTATGCAGGTCTCGCGTACCCAAATGCAAAACATTTACCCTTACTAGGTTCAAAGCGTAAAACTTTTTTGTACCGACATTATTCCAGTCTCGTAGTTCTGCTTTGCGTGTGTGGTTTAGTATTTTTCGGTCCGGCCCTTCTTCATTATAAAGTTATAACCGAGTAAAGGCTTTTTTTAATTTTACTTTATCGCTATATTGTAGGGTATTCATTTTTCGGATTCTACGCTCGAAGTGTATAAAACTTTCAGACATACTAAGTATTACGCGTGCTACGTTTTACAAAGATTTTGCATATGTTAGAAATTCTAGCACAAAATTCGAACTTATTATGTATTCGGTATTTCCTATCTTTTTCTTTTTATTGTTGGGAAATGAAATTGGTCTGTCCCCGACTTCTTAAAGTGAAGTGGGGAGTGTGGTCTGTGAGGTGCAATGGACCACTAAAACCCAACAGTCCCATCTGCTTGCTATGAACGGGAGGCACGGTAAAAGTTTCCCTTAACCCAAGTCAAGAGCGTCTGCTGCGCTACTGTGAGCCCAACTTGTGAGTTGTCCAATCCGGTGCGAAGGTCACGGTGGATCGTGTCACCGTCTCCTAGGCCTTCTTTTGCGTTGAAATGATGCCCACCGCATTTGCCCCCCCCCCCCCCCCCCCCCCCTTTTTTTTTTTTTTTTTTTTTTACGATTATTAGGATGTTTTTTTCCCCCCCCCCCCCCCCCCCCCCATTTTGTTTTGGGTTTTTTCTCCCCTTCCCCCCCCCCTTTGAAAAAAGGGCCCCCCCTTTTTTTCCCCCCGGGGGGTTTCCCCCCCCACCCCCCCCGCCCGGGGGGGCCCAAAAAAACCCAAAAAAGAACCCCCCCCCCTTCTATTTAGCACCAACAATTACATCCATACTGTAATAGTTCAGGCTCTTGCCCTGTGATCTTGCAACTCATCCATCCATTTTTGAAGAATGATCAGTTGTGCGAACCGTCTCTAGCTGTTTCTGAGGTCAGGAAGGGAGTCAAAACCCCAACTTCTACTATCCGTCTAACGCAAATAGATTCTGGCTAGGGCCCGCTTGGAGGTGCCAAGGGGCGAAAAGGATGTTTAATTGCTAGACCACTTACAACTACCACCCCCGATATGTACGGGTTAAGCACTCGCCCGGCAGCGTAAAGCCGTACCCAAGGCAGAGAACAATTTTAAAATAAACTTGGGGTCTGCCAGGAACTTGCACCCGATACCCCAAGCGTAGCAGCCCATTAATTAGATCGCTAAGGTC